TCCCAGCATTTTATGGAACCTGAAGCTCCATTACCGTGTTCACAGGAGCCCTCCACCAGTCCCTATCCCAAGCCAGATTAATCCAATCCATACCATCCCATTCTATCTCTCTAAGATCTATTTTAATACTGTCAACCCACCTACACCGTGGTCTTCCCAATGGTCTCATTCCATCTGGCTTTCCCACCAACATCCTACATGCAATCCCATTCTACCCATTAATACTACATGCCCTGCCCATCTCATCCTCCTTCTCTTTATCATTCTAATTATACTTGGAGAAGAGTACAAGTTATGAAGCTCCTCATTATGCAGTTTTCTCCACCCTCCTGTCACTTCATGTCTCTTCAGTCCAAATATTCTCCTCAACACCCTGTTCTCAAACACCCTCAGTCTGTGTTCCTCCCTTAATGTTGGTGACCAAGTTTCACACCCATACAGAACCACAGGCAAAATTATAGTTCTGTATCTTCCAATTTTTATGTTTGTAGACAGCAGAAGAGAAGACAAAAGGTTCTGGACTGAATGGTAGCAAGCATTACCCAGATTCAATCTCGTCATGATCTTGCCCTGCATTTTGGTGATGAGACAGCAACATGTACTTAGTTGTTTCTGTGTTTACTTCTAGGCCAACCTCCTTACTAGCACCAATTAAAGTTTGTGTGTTTTTCTTTATACCGCTTATGTGGTTTAGTGGTCAGAGTTCCTGGCTACAGATCCAGACGTCCGGGTTCGATTCACAGTGCTACCAGATTTTCTGAGTGCCGGTCTAGAGCAGGGTCCACTCAGCCTTGTGAGGATAATTGAGGAGCTATTTCAAGGAAATAGCAGCTCTGGTCTAGAAAACAGAGATTAACGGTCATGGGGATTCATTGTGCTGACCAAGTGACACCCTCAATCCACTAAAGTTGGCACTAACTTCACCAACAAACTGCAGTTGCTCAGTCGGTGTAGTTCACTTGCAGACAGAAACCACAGATTTTGTTTGTTCGTTTGTTCTATTTTTATTTATGGTATCTATAGCAGCCTCCGTAGTCTAGGGGTAACGTTCCCACCTCATGACTCAAGGTACGTGGGTTCAAAAACCCGGCGGAGGTCGTGGAATTTTTAAGGGCGGGAAAATTCAGGGAACAAGTCTTCCGGGAGGGACTTTAAGCCGTGGGCACCATGTCATAGATTTACAGCACATAAAAGAACCTCATGTCTCTAGGAGACCTCTGAGCAAAATTAGGCCAAGTTTCCCGCCCAACTAGTTTCCAATTCCTCCGGTAGATGGGGGAAGTATCAGGTACCACTGCCAGAGGACAGGGGACCTCTCTGACAGAAAGGGACTAAAGTATTAGATACCACTGCCAAGTAGAGGGTAGAAACCTTGCTGGCAGAAAGGGACTAGGAACCCCTGCCAGAGGAGGGACGACCTTGCTGACAGAAAGGGACTGACTGTTAGATACCACTGCCAGTAAGAGGTTGGAACCTCGCTGGCAGAAAGGGGCTGATAGTAAGCACCAGTACCAGTAGGGTATGGAGACAGTAGAAATTAAAGTGGGACGCACAATGGGCCAGTAACCGGTCTAAGTGCATGGGGAAACCACCCCCTCAATACGGAATATGGAATATGGTATCTATAATATCACCCAGTAGATTCACACCATCTGCATAGACCAACAGCTGATGTGTCCCATTTCATTTCAGTCCCACGTGGTTTTCTTGGACCTTCCCTAATGGCATATTCTAAAGCAAAGTTGAAAACCAGTGACAATAAAGCATCTCCTTGTTTTACACCATTCTGGATAGGGAAATTATCAGACAAATTTTACCTATACGGGCTTTACTATACGTTTCGTTTAAAAACATTTTAATCAGTATAACTAGTTTCATGGGTATCCTAAACTCTATCAAACTCGTTAATGACATTATGTTTTAACTATTGAATTTTTAATTAATAGACTTGTATAAAGCAGTACAAATTGTATAAGGTTTGCCATTACTTTTACTACTAAAATTAACTTATTTATTATATTGTATATGTTTATCAGTATTGTATTACAAATGTGAATGCTATTGGATGACAACTGAAATTCTTAGTTCTGACTGTAACTAGGACGATCTCCACATCCACATGAGAATGTATTCTCGACAAGATTTATGGAAGGTGAATAAATGAAATGTAATGAAATATCAGAATATTGTAGAATACTTCCCTGTTAACTGAATCATAGGCTTTCTTGAAGTCTATGAATAGCTGTCTCATTGTACTCCCATTTTTTCTCCAGTATCTGATGAATGCGAAAGATATGATCAGTAGTTGATCTGTTACGTCGAAACCCACACTGATGATCTCCAATGGACGGTAGCTGCATATATTTTGAATAAGCAGTTGTGTATAGCCTGAAAAGGGTTGGTGTTCCAGGTTGGGGGTTGAGCGTGGGGCTAACAGCTCTTCACCATAAAAAATAATCTTGTTACAAAAACTTGCAAGAAGCCTCGGACCTGGACAGATTCCTTGAATAAACAACCTAAGCAATAGAAAATGGATATGAGATTTGGTACTTTGAATGGTAGAAGTATGTACAGGGCAGTGGCAGAAGAAGTCTCAAAATATAGGTTAGATTAATGGGAGTACAGGAGGTCAGATTGGATGGAGGTGCGCTGAATCAGCAGGCAAATCTACATTTTATCTATGGAAAGGGGATGTCAATCAAGAAAAAATTAAGAACTGCCGAGAGTGTCAAAGACCTGTCTAGAGAGGCTAGAGGCCTGGCTAGAATGGATGGAGGGCATTCAAGAAAAGTTAGAGGTCAAGATATAGGCATATCAATACAGGACAAGACAGAGGCCTATCTAGAAAAGGCAGAGATCAATCAGGAAGAAGTAGAGGCCAATCAAGAAATGATATGGGCTGTATTGGTGCACTAGAAATTGGTAGCACATGTAATGACCATGCATCTGCTTACCATCCCACAGGGCAGGGCCTCCGATGTTCTACATGGAGTCCCAAAGGAATGACATGTGAGAAGAATGTTGGAGCACTTGACCCCAGTATACCACACACACATTGAAAACAAGGACCCAACTCATTGGTGAGCCCATACAGGAGTTTGCCATTGCTATTGAACAGAGGGCCCATTGTGCCCTTCCTTCATTACACAAGGACCACATTCATAAGGGAGCAAGCAAGGCATTCATCATGGGCATAAAAGAATGAAACATAACATGACACCTACTTCTGGTAGACAAGAAGAGGCCCTGAGACAGACCTTTTGTGCTGGAGGTGGTAAACCTAGCGGTTGGGTCTCCCATCAGGCTCTGGAAAATGAGTGATGGGACATTGTGCAGGACCTAAACAAAAGAAGAGACTACTGACAGCTTACATGCCAGCACTGGAAGAGTACCAGCCACTTCCAAAAGCTGTGTCCCCTCAAAACGGAAGCATAAGTGTCGGGGCCAGCACGATGTTGAGGTATCATTCGCAAGAGCGATCACAGATGTCACAGGTATTTCCCCTAAGGAACCAAGATATGGCAATATTCTGTGGGCCACTCAGGACACCCAGCCTTGAGGAGGGAGCAATGTGGCATGATGGCTGAAAGCCAAAATAGTCTGAAAACAAAAGTTGTCCATTGCTAGCCAACGGCCAGTAAACACATTTCCACAATAACCAAAACATGCTTCTACATCAACAATACCTGGGCCATCACAAGGCAACAGACAGCATATTGTGTCACTCAGCAAGGGAGGAATTCTAGGAAATGGTGTTTTCTGTGCAGTCTATGCCGAGGCTATATAAATGGAACAATTGAGAAGAGTTAATCAGACATGTTCACAGCATGGGACAAGGAGAAGCCAGACAGAAAAAATATAAGAAGCTTAAACTTGGCGGTGATCAAGCTTCTTACCATCAAGTGACTAAGCTGCCATTGTAGCATAAGATACATAACATAGGACTTGTATATAGTGCAAAGTGAAGAATTTTCAATAACATGTGTGATAGTGCATCTGATGAAAGGCCAAGCATATTCATAAGAGACAAATCCATCTTCTCGTCACAGAGGATGTTACATAAGGACTATGACTGCAACGGTTTGGTTGAAAAAAGAAAAAAATCTGGTCTTGAGCCTCAGGCCCCAAGACAACTGATTGGCAGTAAACTGCCAGTCATAAAGTAACTTTGACTTTGACCTTGACTTTGACTTCAGGCATGAGTGTTAAGTCAACTGTTAAACGTCTTGAGCTGCCTTGGTAAACACCAATACAAAGCAATGAATAGTGAAGATTTAGTGCTTGCAGTAGTGATTTGTTGAGTGTGTATATTAGTAAAAGTGTTACAGTTATTTGTAGTTACAAGTTATAAACCTTCAATAAATCCAATTATCAATCCAAACCCCATGTCTAGTCACTAACAGATGACAATACCAAAAAGAGGTGGCCTGGAGAAAATGATAGTGTGACATATTTGTTCAAAGCAAGAACTTTGGAGCCAGAGAAACAGCCATTGCTGGGTAAGGGCTGTGTAACACTGAACAGTGGAGGGACTGGGAAGTGGTGTTTTCTGTCCGGTTCATGCTAAGGCTATATAGCCAGGATGAGGTGCCATTACAAGGGAGTCTAAGTTATAAGAGTAGCAAGTAGCCTGCGAGGACGTGAACCTGCTAGGAGGGGAATGTCCACTGGTGAAGACACAGCCAACTAAGATGACTTCATACATTCTGTAGTGAACTGCAGAGTGTGTATTAGCAGTAGCGCTATAGATATTTGTAATTACTTTCTGTAAGAGTTTATTAACTCCAATTGCCAACACAAACCACATCTGTAGTCCCTCAATCACATGACTTTATGAGGAGGAACTTCACAGTATGTGCTTAACATAACTTACTTATCTAGCTTAAAGAGATCAGCATGATGCTATAAGGTTTGGTGCAATCACTTGAAAACTCTAGATATTCGTAAAAGGTTTGTTTCAATTTATTATAAGAGAAACTTTTCTTTCCTGGGTGTTTCAGTGCTTTTCCTGATATGCTAATGGTGGAGAAGCAAGATTAGACATAACTCAAGATAGTCTGCAACTGTTTCTTCCATTCTGGTATGTTCCAGTTATGGAACAAAAATTCATAGTGGGTCAGAAATGGCTTTATGTTCTGAAAAAATTGTGTTATCCTTTATGTTCATTTGTACTTGAACTCAAACCATGTGTCAAATACTGAAGAAGGCATTGCCACTTAAATAATCCCTCTAAGCTGATTAGAACATTAAATCTCTTCAAACTGAAGACAACCTTTGGAAAAGTGGCAATGAACACTGGCCTTCTGGTCAGCCAGTCAAAGCCTTTTACAGATAACATGAAGAGTAGTAACACACTTCTGTATTTATAATTGATACACTTGAGATTAGACTGCATGTGATTCTCCTTTCACATGATAAAGGGAATATAGACAAATCAAATGCAGTAGTGTTTTGGACATGTAATTGGGCATACTTCAACAATTTAAATCTCTCACAAAAACTTTTTTTGTTCAAAGTGTATAAAATGAACATATAATCATTCATATTTTATCTCCAAATTGCTTATTTGATTTCAATTAAAATTGTGTTGTTGGTATCTGTGTTAGAAATCATCAGGGAAATTTGGTTTAATCTGTGTTGATCCAATTCAGCCTACCTTAGTAAAGTTCAGATTGAACTTTTATATTGTCCCAGATCAGTCCACTGTACAGAGAAAAAATAGTGACATGGAATATATGAGTAGATCTGAATAATATGTAACTGTGTATTGTAGTATGTGTACTGTTTATTAGCTTTATTAAAAATATATTCACATCATGCCATTGTATAATACTGTATAACTTTTACAGAACAATAAAAACAACGAAAATTGTCATCGTGTCACTTTTTTATATAGGTTGATGGATGAAAAATCTCCAGTCTCTTCTTTCCTTTCTCTCTCTGTTTTTCAGTTTCCTGTGAACTCTTCCTTCTTTTCTTAATTTCATTCAGTATACAGCTAGTACAACAAAAACATGTATTATAAATAGCCAAGTATGTTTCATGTCCTAATGCTCATTGCCAGGGGCTGTATACAGGCTAGTAAAGTTTGCATGATTAATATTATCTCCTATGTAAAAGATGAAAGGTAAATCTATCCCTGTAACAGGCCATGTAGGCCAATAAGATTGTGAGATGTCAAGGCTCCCACCTTCCTAGGCAGGCAGCTCGCAGATGGCAGTGAGGTTGTCAGCCTTACACTCTGAACGCCCTTTACCCCCCAAGAAGATTCCTGGCACTCATTTCTATCAGAGGCTGAGTAGACCCCAGGGCCTTAATGTGGCTGGAGTTATTAGGTCAATTTAAAAATCCAGTGGTCTCATAAGGAATCAAACCCGCTAACTTCTGGCTTGTAGCATAGTGCCTCAACCAACTACACTGCTGGATGCCCCATTATCTCTTATGTACCATAAGTTATTACCCAGTCATATGTCTTAAGTACTCGTACAGTATCTGAAATTAAAATTTTCTAAACTTTTAAATATTTTACATACTTATTTCAGTTAATCTCATGCAAGTTTATTCCACCAACATAACTATATCACTTTGCCCTTTCATATTGTCACGTGACATACCCAAGGCGTGACAACTGTTATTGCGTTACCATGGAAGTACTTACTCCAAACATGTTACATTATTTTAGGTTATTTTTTTTTAATGTTCAAAATTAATATGCATTTATAATTTTTGGTCATCATGTTATTATGTATAGCAGTCTTGAGGTATAATATTGTAAAGAAATATAGATATAAATTTATTATTGTCCTAAGTTTTAAAGAAACGTGGGGCAATCCAAAAGTTTCTGAAATTTGAATTTTGCGCGCGAATGGTTATGAGTACATCGAAATACTGCTAGGTGTCTCCTCACACATCCTTCTTGAATCAGTGTGGCAAGCGGCGTCGAGTTGAGTGGTTGGGTTTATTGTTGGTGAACGTATTTCCATTGTTGTGTTTCCATGAGTTTGCGGTTTTGTGATTGCTGACCTGAGAGAGCAGTGTGTCTGTATAAAGTTTTGTTTCAAACTTGGGAAAACCGCTGCAGAAACGCACCAAATGTTGAAGCAAGCTTTTGGTGAAAACAGTTTAGGCCAGACACAAACTTACAACTGGTATAAGCGTTTTAAAAATGGCGAACAATGACTGATGATGACGATCGTTCGGGATGGCCGTCAATGGGCAAAACACCAGAAAATGTCGCGAAAGTTAGGGATCTGATTCTGCAAGTTCGTAGACTGACCATCCAAGACCTCTGTAACACCTTGGGACTAAGTTATGGTACATGCCAACGAATTTTGTTAGAGGAACTGAACATGAGGATTGCAGAGAAGTTTGTGCCATTACTGCTGCAAAATGAATAGAAGCAGCATCGCTTGAAAGTCTGAATGGAACTTCAACAACAGCTTCAAGAGGATCCGAACTTTCTTTCGAAGGTTGTCACTGGTGACGAAAGTTGGGTTTATGGCTACGGCCCTGAAAGCAGCGATCGTCACAATGGAAGAGCCCTTCTTCACCTCGGCCAAAAAAAGCTTGACAAGTCGAGCAACATTAAGTCCATGTTGATCTGTTTTTTTGATATTGACAGGATTGTTCATAAGGAGTTCGTCCCTCCTGATCAGACAGTCAATAAAGAGTTCTATCGCAGTGATCTAAGGCGTTTGAGGGAGAACATGGGGAGAAAAAGTCCAGAGAAATGGCGCACAAACGACTAGGTACTCCACCATGACAACACACGACAGCATACGGCTTACATTGTGCAGGAATTTTTGGCTAAAAACAAGATGGCAGTTGTTCCCCACCCACCGTACTTGCCAGACTTAGCTCCATGTGACTTCTTTCTCTTCCCCAAGATGAAAATCAAGTTGAAGGGGCGAAGATTTGATACAGTTGAGGGAATTCAAGCAGAAATGGAGATGGTACTAAACACCCTAACAAAGAAAAACTTCCAGGATGCATTTGAAAAGTGGCAGAAACGCTGGGATCGGTGTATGCGCTCCCAAGGGGACTACTTTGAAGGTGATGGTGCAGAATAAGATCTAGGTAAGATGTAATATTTTTTATTAATATATTTCGGGAACTTTTGGATTGCACCACGTATATTGAGTTTTAAATTCATATTGCCCATTCTGTGGATCACAGTCATTGGACAGTTAGTAGTCACTCAGAGGACTAATGACAGAGGATGCTTGCTGAAATTAATTTCACCCAAGGTGAACAGAGGTTGCACCATTTCTAATCACACAAGAGAAGAGTAATAACAGACTTTGAGATTTAACAAAGAACAGGTTTTATGTAATGTAATATAAATTTCCATGTCTGCTTTCCAGAATTCTGAAAATTAGGATATAGTGTTTGAAAATGTAACAAGAAATTATGCAGGCCACCTGGTATTATTATGGAAGTGAAATCAGGGAGGTTACAGTAGGTTGAGTGTGCAACTACAATGTGAGAGACAAGGATTACATACAGAATTTTTGTGGAAATGATCCTGTTTGAAGACTGAGAAGGAGAGGAGGATAAGTTTAAGATAATCATAGGGAAGTGGGTTCAAAGGGCGGTTGTTTGATTGAACTAGCTTAGGGTCATGTTCGTTAGGAGGCTTTCTTATTATCAGGACTGAACCTTCATATTCTGCTCTCTAGTGTTGGTTTCTTAACTGTGACAGAAATTTATAAAAGAACAAGTTTTAAAAAATATGACAGGATTTGTCTTAGAAGTTTTAAAGTATCATGTTGGAGGAAGAATATGTTTACAGAATCCTTTGAAAATGATGCAGCAATTCTGTCTGTGCTACCTGGTTCTAATAATGAAGAGATGAAATGGATAAGAATGATATGACTGAATGAATAATAGTGGAGTAATGATGATTGAAATGGTGCAGCAGAACTGATAAAACTGCCTTCTGATATTTTCTTATGCTGTTAGAAAGCAAGATTGTTATCTTATCAGGCATCCTTAATATGGATGATATGGTAGAATTTGATAACAGAAGCTTAGTGAAAGCCATATAATTTTAAATATCTTATCTCATCATCTATTGATTTGTGTGCATGTACATTATTAATGCCTGTGGTATCACCATAGCAGTATTGATCCAGTGAAGTGTGGGAAGGTCGTATGGTCTGTGAGTTCAGAGTGCTTGGCCATTTGTGTGAACTCTTAGGTATGTATTTATCATAGCTGTTTTAGTTTTTATGTGGTATGTGAACTTTACATAAAGTACTGAAGTAGCTAATTCTGGAGAACTGGAATATTTTGTCTGGTTATTTTATTTTACATCCTAAGATTGTCAAAACTTTAGTTAAGGAGGTCCATGTTTTATATGAGATGGTAAAATTTTAAAGCATATTATTTCTATTTGAAGTTAATAGAAAGGAAATTATAAAAATTGTTCTAATAAAATGCTAAATGATATAAGAAAACTTAGTGTTCAGTGTTGTGTAATCTTTTGGTTTTAATTATTTGCTACAGTCAACATCTTAACAGCTGCAGTTTACTCACATTTATATATGTGTGTGTGTTCCAAGATGAACAACTTTTGCAAAAGTAACAAGGAGTTTTGAGAAGTTAAAGTTCACTTACCGACAAATGCATGCATCTGTATAAAGTACCTATCATGTCTTATAAATTGATATATAATAAGTATGTTTTCTTTGTGCATTACCACACTAGTGTAGACTTTACACTGCTTGAAAATTATCAGATATGACATTAAAATTTTGTGCCATTGCCATGTTTGTAATTTTTAACAATACACAAAAGAAGTTTTATACAAAATTTATAGGTTTTTGTATATTGCACACTGCATAGTTGAAGTGATTCTTTAGACATCACAATCTGTCAAAGTGTATGTAGATTTTATGTGATAGGAATTTTATTACCTTAATTTCTTCACAAAACACGGCCTAATGGGAGTTTCATAATTTCTACACTATTTGACCACACAAATTTTCAGATGAACATTAAATTATGCTAGTGTCACTCAAATTCCAGAAGTTCAGATGGCTGGAATATTATTATTCAGGGAGGACAATCAAAAATGTATGTTGTTGGTATAGTCTCTAAAGACTGCACATTCATTTCTTTTAAGTTTCATGAAAATCTGTCAGTCAGTTCAAAAGTTATTTGAAAAACCACACACACAATCATGAAAATACTGTTAGCTTAGTCTGCCTTATACAGTCAGATAAGTGGACTACAAATATTACAGCTCCAACAGTTTCTATCTTGTGGGATATAGGGCCATGCAATCCATTGCAAGCTAACCAATATTTGAGTGAAACATGTCACCTCCATGTTCAGTGTGGAAAAATAAGCCAAGGAAGAAACCAGCATGAATAGGTACTAAAGCAGGGCTTTTCTTGTTACCTGCTTAATGCTCATTTC